CCCCCCCCCCCAATTAATGTATTCTACGAGATCTCTCCGCGGCCGTACACGGCGTCTGTCTCTCCTCGGCCGAGTACAAGAACCACACAGCAAAGACGGGTCACCTAAAACATCTAAGCGTTCTTATGGGGCAAGTGATCGGCTCACCCGTTTCATGACGGCAGTCAGGTTGTGCGTGCTCGGCGTCCTCAGAGACACGTTCAGAACGATGACGCAGCTAAGCACGATAATCGTGGACACGATCATCACGAAGATCAGGTATCTGCAAAAGAAAGACGGGTCAGGATCCGGTACCGGGGAGGGCTCTCGTGCCATCAACCACCGCGAAAAGTGTATGAGTCCTTCTAGATCGCGGTCAGCGACCTCGTCCACATTCATTGGCAATCGCCGGCGCATCTAAAAACTGGTTCTTTATGTCATCTTGATGCAAAAGCAGCAAAGTGCTGACGCGTTTCCGTCCTGGCTGTGACTAAGGCCCGGTGTGGAGGCTGAAACGCACCAAGATGAAGTAAAGAACCGGGTTTTAGATGGACCCATGTGCGTGTGATGGTGATTCCTAAATGATGGGAACCCCCCACTGAGCACTAGGGTTGCCACCTGCCCAGGATTCCCCCGGACAGTCCGGGTTTTGAATGCCCTGTCCGGATTTCATGGCAGCAGAAACCCGGACACATGATGTCAGGCAGAAAAAAAACACCAGCCGCTATTTTTTTTGCTGTTCCCAATGGCAATCTGCGTTCCGTGCCTCAATCTAAGAATAGGAATACGGACGCCGGCGCTCCAAATGCCGTACAAATGCGTTTATTGACGGACATGCCACATATCGCATAAAATGCAACGTTTCGGGGTCTCGCAGGATCCCCTTCCTCAGGCAGAGCATGACCGCTCTAACCGCTCCGGGTGTCACCCAGCCTCGGGACGCCCCTATGTTCACTAGCACTGTTATCACATGCTCTGCCTGAGGAAGGGGATCCTGCGAGACCCCGAAACGTTGCATGTTATGTGATATGCTGCATGTCCGTCAATAAATAAACGCATTTGTACAGCATTTGGAGCGCCGGTGTCCGTATTCCTGTTACTTGAGAATGGTTGTCATCCGTTGATTACCGCTCCACCCACTTATTTTACATGGAAAGAGCGGTTAGGAGTGCGATGGGTTCATGGACTAATACTCCGTGCCTCAATCACACTCACTCCAGCCTGTACCCCAATTTATTTATTTAAAAAAATGTATCAATTTTTTTTTTTCATCTAACTTTATTGCTTACACACAGGAGAAAACAATCCCCATGTGTAATAGCAATTGGAGGTGACAGGTTCTCTTTAGTGACCCTGTCACCTCCAATACAGGAGTCCTAGCACAGCGCTGTGCTGGAACTCCAGTGACAGGTGAGAGAGGAAGAGCACGGCACAGCACAGCACAGCTCTCCCCTCTCACTGTCTACACGGAGCGGCAGGGTTACCTTTAGCCCTGCCGCTCTGCTCACTGCAGTCAGAGACTCGGTGGCGGGGGGCGGAACCAAAGGAGAGAGGTAAGTGCAGGGGGAAGGGGGAGAAGCATGCACACTGTTTACATGTGATCTCGGTGACATCGCCGACTTCGCATGTAAACGAACAATCGGCTTCCCTCACTCTACATTTAGCGTGGCTTGTACAAAGCAGGACTGAATGTAGAGAGGGCAATTTCCCCACAAGGACACCGCTGCCGCCCCTATGCGCCCTGCCGCCCCGAGGCCGGGCCTCGGTGGCCTTGTGGGGAATCCGGGCCTGACTACGGGTCCATTTTCACTAAGAATGAGCAAATTGGGAATTTCCACTTCCATGGCCATTCCAGCAAAATGCTTTGAAGTCAATGAGAAAGACCAAAATGAAGGTGTTTTGGCAGGTTAAGGGTGTAATAGGCTGTAAATGGCCGCTGAGAGTTATGGTTAGAGCTTTAGAGTTGGCTTTGTTGATCCGTTGAGTTGACCCTTGGTCACTCTCCACTCCACGACTGAGCCGCACGTGTCACTCTCGTAATAGTTGACATTCCCGCCTTTCGTCTTTTTGGTGGCAAACCTCATATACAAAAACAACTCAGCTGGTAGTGAAGATGGCAACATATGTAGAGTCACTTACTTGCCGATAAGTGGGACATTTAGAGATGTCTCCGGAACCTTCTGAGCGATCAGGAACAGGAACACAGTCTGGGCAAGGAGGACCGAGATGGAGACGGTACATTTCTGTCCACCAGCTGGAAGGATGACAAGGACGGGACAGAGACCAGAATTTAATGTCCGTGATCCACATTTACCAATATTTTAGTTTATGGATTCTGGCGAGCTTCTTCTGGTTCTGGTTTCCTTCATCTCAGGAAACGCAGCAACAGTGAAACCTGCATCCTCTCCCCAACAACAAAAAGGGGAAATCATTATTCTGCTTTCTCCGCAACACTACAACAACAGTCCAACAGGGAGAATGATAATCCTTGTCAGTGATGGCAGTAGGGAGGTAGGTAGGCCTGGGGACTTGGGTGTAGACTATACACTGCTGGGAACTCAGTGATACCTTTGTCCCTTATGTACTGTACCCAAGACCCGTGCTCAGGGGCGTCCCGAGGCTGGGTGACACCCAGAGCGGTAACCGAGTGTCACCCTGCCGAGATGTCACCGCGCATGTGCGTGACTTCAACACACTCGTGCGCGATGACGTCATCGCGCACGCGCGACAGTCTTCTGATACCTGCCGGCGGCCATCTTGGTGATGGACGCCGGCAGAGAGAGGAGGGGACAGTCACCCGGCGGGATAAGGTATGCCGCCGGGGGTCCCCTCCTCTCTCCTGATACTGTCGGGCGTTCGGTGCATGACCGAGCGCCAGACTTTTCAGAGGGGGGTGACACCAAAATGACTGCAAGTCGTTTTGGTGTCACCCCTCCAATGGTCTGGACTCTGTGGTGGCCAATCCATGTGTGACAATGATGTCTCATGCTCCCTGAGCCACTCTTTCACAGTCTGTGCCCGATGAATCCTGACATTGTCATCTTGGAATACGCCCAATGTGCCATCAGGGAAGAAAAAATAAATTAACGGAAAAACCTGATCTTTCCGTAAATTCAGGGAGGCAGCTGACCTCATTTGTTGGGCGCATGACATTGCTGAACCTAGACCTGTAATCCAATGGAAGGCTCTGACCTGCCTGCTTAGCTAAGTCTGGGTGGTGACTTTTTTGGGGCAGGCAGTGTATTATGGAGAATGTAGCAGGAGGAGACGGATAACACAAAGGTAGGCGGGGACACGTGAACAGAAACAGGAAGTGGAATGATGACAGGGAGATCTCAATGTTGGACCATTCAACAGATATAAGGAGCCAGGGTTCGGACTCTGCACACCAGGCTCCATCTTTAAAAATAGTTCAACATTCTATTACTGTATGTCTTTTTGTAGAAGTTAGTTTCCGTCATATTGAAAAACCATCCTACCCCTTTTTGGGACAATAAACCATATATGGCCAGTTATAAGTTGGAGAACACCTGACAATCACACCCCCAATTGAAATTGTTGGCATCCCATTCTAAAACCTTGGACATTAATATGGAGTTGGCACACTATGGCTATACCAACTTTCGCTCTTCTGGGAAGGCTTTCCACCAGATTTTGGCGTGTATCTGGGGGTATTTGTGCCCATTTAGTCACAAGAGCATTTGTGAGCTCAGGTACTGATGTTGGAGGAGAAGACTTGGCTCACAATTGGTTTTCCAATTCATTACAAAAGGTGTTTAATGGAATTGAGATCAAGACTCTGTGCAGACCATTTGAGATCCTCCACATAAAACCATGTCATGACGGAACTGGCTTTGCGTACAGGAGCACAGTCATTCTGGAAGAGAAAATGGCCTTCACCAAACTGTTGCCACAAGGTTAGAAGCGTACACGTGTCTACAATGTTGTACCAGTACCATTCACTGGAAACACCTGAACTCAATGATTTGAAGGGAATGTCCACACACTCTTGGCCATATACTGGAGATTTGTCCAGTTGCAAAGGTCCCCCCCCCGTATGTATTGTAAATTAGGGCTGTGCAAATTAACGATTAATTTCTCGATTAATCGTTAATCTTTTTGATCGATAAAAATTTTTTTGATCGATTAAAATATTTTGGATCGCTAATGAAAATACTCACCTCTCTTCCGCCTTCCGGGAGTCCCGTCGGAGATCCGGGGGACGTCACGGACATCGACTTCACCGGACTCCTTCCCCAAATGGCTCCGTCGGCTAACGAAGGGAAGGGGGGAGGAGTCCGGTGATGTTGATGTCCGTGACATCACCGGACTCCTCCCCCCTTCGTTAGCCGACTGAGCCACTTGGGCTGGTGAGTTTGCCCAAGAAACTTTCTGCACGAGCGCCAGCAAAGGCATTGGCCTATACACATACAGCACAGCAATGAAGTCATAAAATGAAGTAGGATCACAGTAATCCAGCACGTTATTATTCTGAGTTGCCCCACTCAAGCGGCGGCCATATTGAGTGGGGCACGTGAGATTAACAACGCGCTGGATAAGTGTGATCCTAGTTCATTTTATTACTTCATTGCTGTGCTGTATGTGTATAGGCCAATGTAGTTGGATCTGTATGTGCGTTATAATTAATCGAAATTAATCGATTAATCGATTGAAAACATTTCCGATTAATCGAACACAAAAATTTGAATCAGTAACAGCCCTATTGTAAATACCTTAGAGTGACCCTTTCTACTGTATTTTATAAGCTGTACTTTAGCACACATTTCTTACTTCATCTCACCCTCATGGCGGTTATCTCACCTTTGGCTGGCAGGAAATAGACCAACACTACCAGGGAGGAGATGAGGACACAGGGTACGATGATGTTGACTATGTAGAAAAGAGGCTTCCTTTGAATAACAAGCCCGAAATTAATCTCTTGATACTGAAGGTCTTCCTCCGTATAGCGATTGTTCACATACTTCCAGGCGGGGCAGTGCTTTATTGCCCATTCTCCATTTTCTGAACGTGGGAGGAAGCAATAGACAAGACAAGGAACAGGAAAAGGTTAGCAGATTACCATTGTTGGCAACTTGAGGAATGATGGTAGAAGATGGGAAAGGAAATAGCGCGGTATTACCTGTGAAAGCCTCGGGGTCAATGTCCACCCGCTCCAACAGATCCCCGCTTTCAGCAAAAGCCAAAAGTAGAGTGATTTCCTTCGCAGTGTATGTTTTTGACCTACAGGATGGAAGAGTTCAGGAGGCTTGTGAAATGCTTCTTCTCCACCATTGAATACAAGTTAGTATCTGCTTCCACCTAACATTCTTTGTATATCACAGAGTGTAAGCTCCTCTGTACAGAGACTGATGTGACTGTCTCAGTGTTCCAAGTAAAGAATATACATCGGTTGCTCACCTGAACACCAATGTACAGTTCTGCCAGTCAAATGGGAAGTAGGTGACCTCCACAGCGCACGCACTCCTGAAAATGGCCGGCGGGAGCCAAGAAATGTAGCCGGTGCTATATACCAGGACGTTGGCGTAATAAGCCACCTCAAACTGGCCATCAACGCTGAAAGACAATATAAAAAGGCTCTTACAGAGAAGGACGGCCCTTTATATAGAATCCATTGTCTTCTAAAGCTGTAGATTTGTACGAGGTACCTTATGCCAGCTTAACATTATGAGGGCCATAAGACTCTGCTTCCTGAGTGATGTACATATGCCAGAACGTTAGCGTTTCCAGAACCCTAACACTAACCTTCCTTGTAACCCCAATACTAACCCTTGCCATAACTCTACCACTAACTCTCCCTGTAACTCTAACACTAACCCTTGCCATAACTCTACCACTAACTCTCCCTGTAACTCTAACACTAACCCTTGCCATAACTCTACCACTAACTCTCCCTGTAACCTTAACACCAACATTTCCTATGATTTTAACACTATTCCTCCTTGTAATCCCAACACTAACCCTCCCTGTAACCCTAACACTAACCCTCCCTGTAACCCTAACACTGACCCTCCCTGTAACCCTAACACTAACCCTCCCTGTAACCCTAACACTAACCCTCCCTGTAATGCCAAAACTAACCCTTCCTATAATTCTAACACTAAGCCATCCTATAACTCTAACCCTGCCTGTAACCCCAACACTAACCGTGCCTGTAACCACAACACTAACCCTCCCTGTAATCCTAACCCTTCCTGTAACCCCAACACTGACCCTCCCTGTAACCCCAACACTAACCCTCCCTGTAACCCCAACACTAACCCTCTGCTCTTGGACAAGCAGAGGTCTCCTCTGAAAACCAGGTACGGAGACATCGGCTCGTCCTTGAACCTGCTGGGATCCACTATGGTCTTCAATGGTCTTGGTCCATCAGCCGATAAACAAAATCAGAGCACTTGTGATTAACACTTTCCTTTCTTCTGGGCCGACAGAAATTTGGTAGGAAGTTGGTAAACCCTTTTTTTTATTTGGAAGGTCAAAGGCACTCCCACCAAGACAAGACCCTACAGAGCCAAGTCCACCAAGACAAGACCCTACAGAGCCAAGTCTTCGGCTGAGAAGCAGCATCGATGGCACTCCTCTTATTTTCCGGAACCAGTGTTGGGCATTTGCTTTTCAGTAAATCTGAAAACAGAACTGGAAGCAAAAGCAGACAGATTGTCTTGAGGGACCTTATGCTGAGCATCTAAAGAGCCGAGATGCTTCAGGAGACTTACTTGTTTTCCAAAACGATGTCAGGCAACCAGACCATGTCGGGAGAAACCCGTAAGACTGATATCCCAGCGTAGTCTGACTCATTCCACGTCAGCCGGTAGTCATCCCATTCCTAGGACACATCAAGATATTGGAGACTTTGGTGAAATACTTCAAGCTATGCGGCAAACGGGCCTGAGATACTGAAGGGCCAATGGTCAGAGCTCGCTATAAGACACATTTTGAGTTATTGTTTTAAGGATTGCTGGTAATTAAATTCTGGTGTGACTTCCTGTTCGGTACTTTCATGTTGGTATTCCATATGCAGACTAGATTCTGCCTTCAGATAGTCATTTGTGTGTCATGCAAGTGTGCTGAGCCCCCTTCAAAGAAAAGTCAGCCCGATGTACACTGTATGGAGCAAAGTTTGTGGACACCTATTCCAAAACCAGGTACACACAATGAAGCACATAGCCATGTAATCTCCACTGGCAAACATTAGCATACAAAGACATGTTAGACAATTGTGCTCTTCCAGCCTTGTGGTAACAGTTTGGTGAAGGCTCTTTTTTGTTCCACCATGACTGTGCCCCCGGGCACATAGCCAGCTCCATAAAGACATGGTTTGGCCAGCTTGGTGTGGAGGAACTCAAGTGGCCTGGACAGAACCCTGTCCTCAACCCTACTGAACACCTTTTAGATGAATTAGATAACACTGATGGTCAGCCAGGTTTTTTCATCCAACATCAGTACCTGACCCCACAAATGCTCTTTTGGCTGAATGGGCACAAATTCCCCCAGACACACTCCAAAATCTGGTGGAAAGCACTTCCATCTGGTGGAGCCTGTTATTGCTACAAAGTAGAGGGAAGGCAAATCCATATTAATGGCCATAGTTTTGGAATGGGATGTCCAACAAGCTAGGTGTGATGGTCAAGGGTTCACAAACATTTGCCCATATATCTTCGCTTGTTACAGGTGGGTGGTTTTATTTCCGTACTCACTAAAAGCCATTCCTGGCCAATGGCTACTGTTTTGTCCCAGACGTGCTTTCCGATTGTTTCCCTTCTCCTTGCCTGCTCAATGCGTATGTGTAGAAAGTGTTTATACAAAATCACTTCCATGCATCCCCATCTGACTGCCACATCAGGTCAATATGCACTTTAAGGCCTCATTCGCACACAACGCAAGCAAAATTGTATATTGCGTATATACGCGTCTATGCGCGTATATATGTAGTCAAGAACCAGCTGCACTCCTTACCGAAAAATAGTAGTAAACCTGCCAAGCAGGTGGGTGCTTGTAGTGACCACGGACGGCCCCATGAACAATGCAGATCTAGAAAGGATTGTCACCAGCACACCAAAAGTTTTGAAGCAAAAAGTCCTTTATTGACAAATCGCCATCCAATACAAGCCCTTTCGGGGTCTCAGCAGTACCCCTTCATCAGGCTCAGAATGGCTCCATTCTGAGCCTGATGAAGGGGTACTGCTGAGACCCCGAAAGGGCTTGTATTGGATGGCGATTTGTCAATAAAGGACTTTTTGCTTCAAAACTTTTGGTGTGCTGGTGACAATCCTTTCTAGATATGCGCGTATATACGTGCGTGCAGTATATGCAATCCCAGAATGCATCACTCGTAATGGAATTTTCAATGTGCTGTACGCATGTACGCGCGTATAGACGCGTATATGGGCGTAAACAAATGTATACGTGCGGCAGTGTGAATGAGGCCTAAAGAGAACCTGTTCTTTGCAGTGGCGGAACTACCAGGGTGGCAGAGGTCGCGGCCGCGACCGGGCCCTGGAGTTCCGCCACTTGGAGGGGGCCCAGGACAGGAGGACCGGGCCCGTAGTAACCGCTGATTACCAGGATATTTATTACCCTGGTAACCGCTAATGTCAGTCCCGGGACCTCTTCCTCCTGTCCTGGGCCCTACATGCTTCACGCTGCTCCCCTCACCTTGTTCCGGGCGCAGCGTGAAGCATCATCCAGCCGGGCAGCAGCCAATGAGTGGGTTTGGCCCTTCATGGATTCTTGCATCGGGGCCCTGAGGTCACTAGTTACGCCACTGGTTCTTTGTCCCCGTGTTTGCACCCTTTCAGCTCCATTTGGGGCAAAGTGAAATCACTGTATTTCCAGGTATGGGGGAGCATGTGGCTGTCTCCTCTAACAATGCAGTGGTGACCAATTGCCAGGCAGCACTGCTGTCACATGGGGTCTGGTGGACAGTCTTGTGGAAGCTTAGAGGAACTCTAGCTTTTTTTAATACATTGCTATGAGGAGGGGAGGGTAAATGGGGGGTGGGCAAGCCAAAAAAATGAACTATAACAAGCAATGTGGGGAATCCTGCCACAGGGGACATAGACGATGGGTTTTGGCTGGAGTTCCACTTCAATGTAAGGTGCAGTTATTAGAGTCTTCCCCTTACCAGCTGGAGCCACACGTTCGTTGTCATCGTCTCCTCTTTCTCATTCTGTCAAAGGAAATGAAATAAAAAAATGTTTAGCATTAGGTCCCATGCACAGGGGTGGCTGAGCCCATATAATGTACATTCCGCCGTATTTTCCCACCCGCCATTGAGCCGCAGGTGGTGCGTACAGACTCCTATAGAAGTCAATGGTATAGGCCGGTACTTGTGCACAGCCGCGTATGGTGGTACATCCCTGGACGCAGGTTTCCAGCATCAAGGGATTTATGTCTGAATACAAGTACTGCTGTAGATCCGCGTATAGCCATTGACTTCTATGGGGGGCTGTATGCGGCTCAATGTTGAGGGGGGGGGAGTGCACCGGCATTTATGATGTACTGGCTCAGCCCTCAATCTCGCAAAGGATCGTTCTTAATGGTAAATCATTCTAACAAGCCTACCTGTGAAAGATTTAGATTGAATTCCTTATTTAGCGTCACTTCGTATGTCAGAGGACGACTGTCGGAGCTGAGAGACCTCCTGAGCTTGGCTGACTAAATTCATGTCTCCCAGCTCCGAAGTAGCCATAACACCAACAGAAGGAGCAGCTGACTAATCCATGATGAGTCCATATCACTTTAATGGTTTGGTCCAAACAGCCAATGCGTTTCGTGGACCAAAAACCACTCCCCCTTCATCGGGGCTACTTCTATACTTCTTTGTGTAACCCTGATGAAGTGAGATTTGGACCCTTACATCATTTGGTCTGGTGCTCCTTCCCTTACGGGACTTACCAGGGAGATGAGGTTGGTGAGGGTGAGTTTCAGACGGACTTCGACAATGTCGCTGATGGATCGGACAGGACGAGAGTTTTTGTTGTAATCTTCAAACAAGTCGTTTAACAGTTGAGACTCCTCACTGGCCAGGGAATCTTATAGACAGAGAAACAGCCAATCAGAGGGCACACTGCTGTTTTAACACCTCTCGCTGGGCAGGTTAATAACACCTCCTAGATTCTAATTATGCAAATGCAACCAACACCTTACCTCCATGAGGTCTCTGACCCCCCGCTGGTTGCGATTAACAGAGTATGTGGATTAGAACAACATTCACCATATTTATTCCCAGATAATTTTTGTACAAGTCATTCTGAATTGAGAAAGCTGGTCGGATGACCGGTGAAATGTCTCCAAAGAAAAATACAGCAAGACCAGTTGCCTTGACTTATTTTTTACAGATATACCGTGACCTGGATACATGAGAACCTTCACAGACATGGCTCTTAAAGGAGAAGTATGGGGTCAGTGTTTTTCCCCATAGTTCTCCTTAGGGTAACGGGAGGACACAAACTAGCGTCCTCCCGTCACCCAAAGCTCAGTATATAGTAGGCTACAGCTCGCGGTATACTGAGACGCCGCAGCAGCCGGGACGGATCCCGACATTACTGTCGAGATCCACCCAGCTGCGGGATTGACAGCTGGCTCTGCCTATCTAGAGGCAGAGCCAGCTGTGCCCGCCCCCTCCCCCGTCCGTTCCGCCAGTCAGCGCTGGATGATCGGACAGGAGAGGGGGGGAATCCCTGCAGGGCGCCGTGAGTGACAGTCACGGCTCTCTGCAGGGACAGGATCGAAAAGTAAGCGAGCGACGCTATGTGTTCGCTCACTTCCCAATCTATTGAGCCGACCTGTGACAGTCTCATTGTCACAGGTCGGCTAGAACTATGAGGCTGAGTGATTTTCACTCGCCTCATAATTCTCCTTTAATATATTTTCTTTTCAGGTCAAATGAATTGTAGTGTAATACCGCATTATGGCCACTAGATGGAGCTGAGGAGCATAAGAAATAGGTATTTATTCCCTTTGCTCCTCAGCTCCATCTACTGGTCATAATGCGGTATTACATCACATTACCTTTGACCTGCAAAGATAATATATGAAGAACCTTTGTTTTTTCAACCTTATGCGCACAAAGCAAACATTAACGGATATTCATAGGGCTCTTATAAGTAGACCCCTAAGTTAACCCTTTCAAAGGCATTTTTGCCTTCTCATTACCAAAAGCATGGGATCATCTTATACAAAGATTGTGCTTCAACTACCCTGCGTCATAAAACAATCAGCCCCTGGTTATTAAAGGGTATTTCCAGGCATGACACAAACTTACCCCCCAAACCTCCCTCTCCCCCTCTAGATCGGGTCCCAGTATTATTCGGGACAAAGAGGAGACCCCAGTGCATGGGTAGTTTTTATATTTCCCCGGAGTTCAGCTTTAGTACTTAGCATGCATGCGTTATTTGTATGCTTGCAGTTGCCTGACTTACGCCCCTTTTTACTGAAACCGGATACAGCTATTTATATTGACTTATATTTAAGCGCGGGGTGAGAGTTTTATTTGTGGGGTTTGTCGGTTGGCAGATTTCCTATTTTCATGTTTGGTGCAGTAAGGTTTCCCAATTTCACAATCAGCAGTGTTAGCAAACGCAGTATTTGTGATAACGTTTATGTTGTGCTTTGTGTGTTGCCTGTATATTGCAGGCTGTGTGCAATGACAGCCTAAAAAAAAAGTGTGGAAAGGTTTTTATTGCTGTGTCTCTGCTGGGGAGATCCTCCCCTCTATATACAGTATGTCCTCGTCACCATTGTCTCCAGTACAGAAAGTGAGGGGAAGTCTAACATTTTGGAGTTGTCACAAGAGGTCAAGTCGGGACGATGGCAGAAGAGAAAGCCACCTTGGGGTGCAGCTGGGGTGGGAGCTTCTCCTGTCTCTAAATAACATGGCTCTCACCTACAGTGTGCTGGACTGAGCTGTCAAACTGACAGCTCAGTCCTGCAGATTACACTGGGAGAGCACAGCTCTCCCTGTACAACCAGCAGCGCTCCACTCTGCTGTCAGTTTGACAGCCGCTTTCTCTGTAAACTGAGCGCAGCACCCGGCTGTCACAGAGTCCCTATGATTACACAGGGAGAGCCATGTTCTCCTGATATACGGAGCACAGCACCCGGCTGTCACAGAGCTCCGATGATTACACAGGGAGAGCCATGTTCTCCTGATATACGGAGCACAGCACCCGGCTGTCACAGAGCTCCGATGATTACACAGGGAGAGCCATGTTCTCCTGATATACGGAACGCAGCACCCGGCTGTCACAGAGCTCCGATGATTACACAGGGAGAGCCAAGTTCTTCCGATATACGGAGCGCAGCACCCGGCTGTCACAGAGCTCTGATGATTACACAGGGAGAGCTGTGTTCTCCTGATAAACAGAGCACAGCACCCGGCTGTCACAGAGATCCGATGATTACACAGGGAGAGCTGTGGTCTCCTGATAAACAGAGCACAGTGCCATGACTATCCTTCAGTAGGATAAAGCTGTACTATGTCCTATAATTCCATTGCTGGGAATTGATCCGGTGTAATCATATGACTATTATGCTGGAGATTAAAGACGCTTAATTGCCAAGATCAACCGCCATATATTCCCCATAATCCCACGTTATTACAGGTGCCAAGTTGGTGCTTTGCTCCTATGGGCTGCTAAATGAGAAATAAGTCAGTGGCCTATTGTGGTCCTAATAATGGCATATTACACCGGGGGCTCTTTCACAGGGCGTTGTCCTATATTCCTGGCGCAAGCTTTACTAACACAACACACGTTCATGCATACATTTTGGTGTGAATGAGCCCAGGGACTCCCCTCCCCCCACCCTCGGTTTTGGGATCTCTGCATGGACTTATTCTGCCTTCTAGAAGAACATCAGAGCTTCTGTACACACTGCAGAACATTTCACCCTGGTGCCCACATAGGGTGAAGCACACCCAACTTTTTAACCCTTCAGAACATACACGATACAGCCAAAGGTTTGTGGCCATCTGACCAAACACACCTACATGAGCTGGTTGGACATCCTTTTCCAAAACCAGGTACATAAAATCAAGCACATAGCCAAGCAATCTCTATTGACAAAAATAACATACAAATACACTTTAGACAATTCTTCCAACCTTATGGTGACAGTTTGGTGAAGGCCCTTTTCCGTTCCACCATGACTGTCCCCCATGTACAAAGCCATCTCCATGTAGACATGGTTTGATGAATTTGGTGTGGAGGAACTCGAGTGGCCTGCACAGAGCCCTGACCTCAACCCTACTGAATAGCTTTGAGATGAAATGGAACTCCAGCTCGGAGCCAGGTCTTCTTGTTCAACAAAGTTTTTTTTACCTAATGGGCACGAATTCCCACAGACACTCTTGAAAATCTTGTGGAGAGCCTTTCCAGAAGAGTGGAGGCTGTTATACTTGCATAGGGTGGGGGGTGGCAAATCAGTACCATGGCTTTGGAGTGGGATGTCCAACAAGCTCAAGTAGGTGTGATGGTCAGGTACCCATATCTACTAACTGCCAGACATGTAATGTTGATCCCATGTCACAGCCCGGGATCTGGTATGCCGACTGGGAAAGTAAAAATCCAAGAGTTACCAGTTCTGCCTACTTCGGTGCCTGTAACTCAAAATATTGGGTCAGAGGCCAGCCTCCATTTTCTTTCTTCAGAAGCATCGGCTGGGTTTTGAAGGGGTCACTACAGATGGACTCCATAGAAAGAAGAGACTTGTTGGCTACTTCTGTCTCTTGTGGGGACATCCCCTTGCTGTAGGTCCTGTCGGTCCTCTCGATTTCCCGCCCACCTTGTACAGTTTCTCGTTGCACACTACATAGCAAACATTGCAAATACAGCCAGGCAGAGTGTAAGTCATGATGGCCACATCATGACTTGCTCGACTTACTCGAGTCCAGAGAGCTCACAACCATAACATATTGTTAGGCAGTTTATGTCCCCAGCTGCTGCCCACAGCACAAGTGTCAGTTTTAGGAGGACTGATCCTTTAATCTACAAGCAACCGGCTCACTAAACCGCAAACCAGACCTTTTGGCTTAGCTCGGTGCCGCAGACACAGACAGACATGCACTAGATAAATAGCAGACTCACAGCTAAGGAGAGGAAGCAAAAACCAGAAGGGAAGCCGGCCATCCATCGTTAGACTGTCAGCTCTTGGGACCGTCTTTTTCCAAAGGGCCAGGAGCAGCCTCGTAAGCCCGGAGTTATTTAAAGATGGGATGTGTTATTTCCGTATGGAAGACAGTATCATCTTCAGAGTCTCCCTCCGCCACCCTCCAAAGGCTCGTCCCCACTGACAAGGATCACATGCAGCTGTCACCAATTATTGCCAGTTAAAGACCCCCACCATTAACCTCTTCGTGGTTTCATGTCTGCTGACCCACGCTTGCTGTCCACAGACTTTTTGTAATTGATGTGATAAATCCACAGATGTTTTCCAGCCTACAATATACAGGAAAATCACCGCCGAACATTATACTGAATATGAACATAATTGGCCTAATTCACAAAGCTCTACACAAGGAGGAGGATCTTTATTTTAGCCATGTGAGTGTAAGTTTCAGATCTGAACAATGGTTAGCCCGTCTGGTCAAACAGATTTGTGTGATCTCCAGAAACTTCTAATCTGCACATTAGATGGGTCATGGGGTGTATAAACTGCCGGCACTAATCCTCAATTGATTTAAGAAAAAATATTTTGGTGTACCGAGCTAATTCCAGAGAGTTCCCAGGTCTGGGTCTGGTTATAGGTGGTTATAGATGGAGTCTGGTGGGCTGAGTTAGCCCCTGGTCTCTTGGTGTACCGAGCTAATTCCAGAGAGTTCCCAGGTCTGGGTCTGGTTATAGATGGAGTCTGGTGGGCTGAGTTAGCCCCTGATCTCTTGGTGTACCAAGCTAATTCCAGAGAGTTCCCAGGTCTGGGTCTGGTTATAGGTGGTTATAGATGGAGTCTGGTGGGCTGAGTTAGCCCCTGGTCTCTTGTATGTCTTGGATCAGTGAAACCTCTTGGTCATAATTACTGGTTTTGTTCCCATCCATCTGTAGTTTTGGGTGCCTCCGTCCATCTTTGTGTGTTCCAGTTCCTCCTGTTATATTCTCCATAATATTATGTGTGTAGACCCGGGAACTCCGTGCATGGATAGTGGGAGTCTTTCATAAAGGGGACAGCAGGTGTAGACCCGGGAACTCAGTGCATGTATAGTGGGAGCTCTTCATAAAGGGGACAGCAGGTGTCTGGAACTCAGTGTCTGGATGGTGGGAGCCCCTCATAATGGGCACTGCAAATGTGTAGACTCGGGAACTTAGCACAGGGATGGTGGGAACCCTAAAAATGGGCACTGCGAACCTGGGAACTTATCACAGGATTGGTGAGAGCCCCTCATAATGGGCACAACAGATGTGCAGACCCGGGAACTCAGCTAAGGGATGGTGGTATCCGCTCATAATGGGCACAGCGGGTGTACAGACCCGGGAACTCAGCACAGGGATGGAGGGAGACCCTCATAATGGGCACAACAGACGTGCAGACCCGGGAACTCAGCTCAGGGATGGTGGTATCCGCGCTCATAATGGGCACAGCAGGTATACAGACCCAGGAACTCAGTGCATTGATGGTCGAGACCCTCATAATGGCCACAACAGGTGAGCTGAGCGAGGAACTCAGTGCAGAGATCCCACTAACAGAATTCAGGGGAGATAGAAGAGACAAGGGATTTCATTGTGCAGCATCTACTAAACACTAAAACACCAATCTGAGGTGGACTGACCCTTTAATTTCACCTCATAATCACAACACTTGGTTTGAATATGATATTAAAAGATGAAATCACAAAACTATGTAAGTAGAACCCCATAGTGTCACTCTGGTCTAATATGGTGCCCACAAAAGCCACCCGACTTGGCCAAAAGCATAGTGCAGTAGAAGTCACAGATCATACAGTAAAAGGACATCTAAGAAGAGGAACACGGACAGTAAATATCTGGCCACCAAATCTTCAGTGTGCGGTGTGGAGAAGCAAGAAGAGCAGCCTGAGAGCGAAGCCAAGCCAAGTCCTCTTCCGCTTCTGGAATCTTTGTGGCATTCTGTGTCAGTATCAGTTTCACTGTCACCACCATCAATTCTCTCAGAAGATCACTTGTCCGGGTTCATCATTTGGGCTACCCCTCTACGGCAAGTGCATTTAACCCTTTATCTTAACTGCTAAGACACAAAGGTCAACTGCTCGGGGGAAGAAACAAGATCAGACTTTAAAGGGAATGTTTAGCAATTTTGTTGCATTTTCTTTTACTGTGAAGAATAAAACCTCAAAATTGTCATTGTTGGATAAGGTTCTCGTTTATCCCCGGTCATGGTATAGCTAGTAGTAGCTAGCCAAACTCAACTGCACTTGTTCTGTAAGATTGAAGGTCTGTGAAGGTTCTCATTGATCCAGGTCATGGTATAGCTGGTACCGTGTTTCCCCGAAAGTAAGACCTAGTTCGGGGTAGGTCTTATATTACAGACATCCCTGAAGATAGCGCTAGGTCTTACCTTCGGGGTAGCTGCACATTTAATTAAATTTTACATGTGAAGACCGGCCGCAGCTTCCTCCCGCCCACCTACCCGCACGCCCATTCATGGATTCTTGCATCGGGGCCCTGAGGTCACTAGTTACGCCACTGACGGCAAGAAAACGTCTTTACCTGTCACAGGCACATGCGGGTGTACATGTTCATTGCAGCACACGGTGCTTTCTCAAGGCTCTGTGCGTGTCACAAAACATATTAAAAATGTTCTGTTTGCCATGAGAAATAAAGAGATTTTCTGTGGTACTTCAAGTCATGTTGTACATATCTTGGATGAAGGGAGACAAACCTCACACCTAGGCTCTGTATAGGAGTGAAGTGTACTTGACAACCTGGAGTGTACTGGACCATCTGAAATGTACTGGACCACCTGGAGTGTACTGGACCACCTGAAGTGTACTTGACCATCTGGAGTGTACTGGTCAACCTGGAGTCTACTGGACCACATGCACTGGTCAATCTGGAGTGCACTAGAGCATCTGGAGTGTACTGCACCATCTGGAGTGTACTGGACCACATGCACTGGTCAATCTGGAGTGTACTAGAGCATCGGGAGTGTACTGGTCTACCTGGAGTGGCATGAATTGTTTTATTCCTCAGCTTGGGGTTTGGAGTAATGCGACTGAGTTACCTGTGTGGCTATAAATGCGGTGCTATGTTCCTCACACTCATTAGAACCGAAGACAATGTATTTCTTTTCTCAGTGTTTACCTGTCTGTTCTAAGCTGCTCTGCTGAAGAAAACATGCCTGCTGTTTATAAAGCTCGATAGTGTCTGCTACATATACCATGTGGATACTGGAAGAGTACTGAAGAACAAAGCAAGCACTTTATACAGGTGCTACCATCTGTTCTTCCATAATAGTAAGAAGGGGTTGTGCGCTTGTATGTCTTTCAATGTGGATTTCTGACATATGATAAAGTCATGGAAAAAAAAAAAGAAAAATAACACAAAGAGAAAAGTGGGGTGAATGAAAGGAAGAAGGTACATTGCCTCGCCTAGGCTCCCCTGTGACTATCTACAACTGTTCTCAAGGAGTCATCAACCACATGCATAACATGATAGAGCACAGAGTTTCATAGACAGAGAGTCTGAAGGCGAGCAGCTTCTGCTGGGCTCTCTTTAGAAAACAATTGTCTCTTGATTCCAGTGTCATGGGTGTATTAAACATTTACTGGTAAAACACAAAGTTTATAAAGTGTATAAAGATTATACACCGATTATCATGCCATAGCATTATGACCACTGAGAGGAGACGCGAATAACAGTGAATAACTATTTCGGTTCCTCCCAAACCGCCTTTACAAAGAACACAGAATGTGACCCATGGAATTCGCTTCCACTCCCTGATTGACAGGACCATGTGGACAGCCGCCTGTGGGCACAGCGAGCGGGATGGCGTCTAGGATATAATGTGACAGGGGAAATGAGAGTCTTACCGTGTCTCAGCCGTGACTTCTTCAAGGTTAATGCAGTCCTAATATATCGGAGGGCTGT